CAACAACCCAGGTCAATCCAGAAAGGACGTAATCCAGTCTTTGGATAATCAAAAGTTTCCCATAAGTTTGAGAGGCAGCACGATCCAGTGGAGAGTGCACTGAACTGGGAGACAGGGGACATTGGCTCTGCTGCTGGCATGGGTGGGGCAGGGTGTGTACAATGGGGCCGTGCTGAGACGGGGACACTGACAGCACAGGGGCTGGTGGGGCCGGGTCTGCGCAATGGGGCTGTGCTGAGACAGGGACGCTGACAGCGCAGGGGCTGGTGGGTCCGGGTGTGTACAATGGGGCTGTGCTGAGACGGGGACACTGACAGCACAGGGGCTGGGGGGGCCGGGCGTGTACAATGGGGCCGCGCTGAGACGGGGACACTGACAGCACAGGGGCTGGGGGGGCCGGGCGTGTACAATGGGGCCGTGCTGAGACAGGGATGCTGAACACGGGGCTCTGCCATTTGGTCTCTACGAATCCCTTAGTGCCAGGCCGCCCCGATCTTGTGATTAACCATCCCCTCATCGGCTATTCTGTCCTCCCGTTTGCCCTCGGCATGACTGTGATGTCTGAGGGGGGCACGTGCGCAGCAGACTCGGGGATAGGTGACCCTGCAGGGCTGCAAACAAGGACGCTATTGACTCTCATTTGCAAGAAATAGCTTTGGGAGGACAATGGTCCTTTGCAGAGGCCTATATATAGTCTCCCTTTAAGAGGCAATGAGAAACGGAGTCATTCCCCTCTCTGGTCTGGCTGCAGGAGAAGACCTGCCCCTCCCAACAGCCTGGCCTGACAGCTGACTCAAATGTGTCTTCGGACGGACTCACTTCTCTTGCCTTTAGCAGGTGATAAAGTTCCTTTTGCTGCTTTTATTGTGGCTTGTGCTCAGCTAAAGAGCGTCCGTGCACCGTCAGTGCGAAAGCTGCCGGACCCGGGCCTCAGGCCGAGGGAGAGAAAGGAATTGCTGGGGTGGGTTTCCATTTGGGGACAGTGGGACATTTGTTCAAAAGCACCTAAATGGCTAATGAGCCTAGGGCAGAGGTGGGCAAACTACGGCCCGCGGGCCACATCCGGCCCGTGGGACCGTCCTGCCTGGCCCCTGAGCTCTCGGCCGGGGAGGCCAGCCCCCGGCCCCTCCCCGGCTGTCCCCCCTACCCACAGACTCAGCTCGCCGTGCTGCCAGCACTCTGGCCCGCTACTCCTGCCGGGCAGTGCGGCGGCGTGGCTGGCTCCAGCACGGTAAGGGGGCGGGGAGCGAGGGGTTCCGGGGGGCAGTCAAGGGACAGGGAGCAGTGGGCGGTTGGATGGGGCGGAGGTTCTGCGGGGTGGTCATGGGACGGGGAACAGGGGCTGGGGGTTGGATGGGAGGCAGTGTGGATAGGGGGCAGGGCAATCAGGGAGCAGGGGGGTTGGCTACGGAGTGTGGTCCCTGTGGGGAGATTAGGGGCGGGGGGTCCCGGGAGGGAGCGGGCGGGGAACAAGGAGCAGTGGGGGTTGGATGGGTCGGGGAGTTTTGAGGGGGGCAGTCAGGGGGCAGGACATGGGAGGGGTTGGATAGGGGGCGGGGACCAGGCTGTTTGGGGAGGCACAGACTTCCCTACCTGGCCCTCCATATTGTTTCGCAACCCCGATGTGGCCCTCAGGCCAAAAAGTTTGCCCACCCCTGGCCTAGGGGCTTGTCTACATGTGAAACACTCCAGCACACAGCCACTGCGTCTCTGGAGCGCTTCAGTGTAGACATTACCTGCGCCGACGGGAGGGGTTCTCCTCTCGCTGTAGTTAATCCACCCCCCCAAGAGGCAGTAGCTAGGTCAGTTGACAAATTCCTCCATCGACTTAGCTCAGTCTACACCGAGGGTTAGATAGGGGAGTGGACTTGCCACACTCCTGAGTGACAGAGCTGGGTCAACGTAACCTTTTAGTGTAGACCTGGCCTAAGTCCCATTTTCTCTATCTATTGATCTATCGATCTATCGATCTATCCCCATCACCCCATCTATCTATCTATCTATCTATCTATCTATCTATCTATCTATCTATCTATCTATCCCCACTCACCCCTCTATCTATCTATCTATCTATCTATCTATCTATCTATCTATCCCACTCTACCCCTCTTTCTATCCTATCCCCACTCACCTCAT